TATTTAGTGGTAGACGTACATACAAACTAACATACCAACAAGACTAAAAGCACCCCTATGTACATACATACATGCATACATACGTATACACGAAGCTGGCATGATAAGCACATACAAATTTTGCCAACGCCAACTTGGACAATCATGCGCACCAACATATGGAAGAAATACACAAAACACATAACGCGGAATAAGCCCACTCACTTCTCAAACAGCTCATACAAAACCAGAGCTAAAGCTGCCAGCATGTACTCAACCAGCATCAGTTGTCCGTAGCTAAGCACGTAGCGCATCCTGGGCTTCGGGCCTATTTGGGGCGCTCTTGGCTTTCCTCCTCGGAGGAAGACTGATTGGTTGAAGGGGGCTGCAAGGGGGGGAATACCCCTCAGGCAACACTCCAGAACCATTATGGGCTAGACCCATTTTTGGATACGGTCTCAATCAGACAGGGGGCGTGGTCCGTTTGGGCTTGCCCAACTCCGAGCACCCCTGCCTGCTTGCGATACCGCGCGGCTAGCGGGTGCTGAAGGGGGCGAACCACCTCCCTGCAGCGCGTAGCCGCCACGAATACGTACGGGGGGGGTAATCTCTTTCTTGCAGAGTCTGAACACGTTGAATGTAATAGGGATGAAATCGATGGTCTTTTAAAGCTTTGTGAATTGTAGTTTTTGGTATTCCCGTCCGTCTTTCCATCATTCTCACTGAAGTCGATGGACCTAGTTCCACTTCCTCTAACACAACTTCACCATCTACCGTTTCAGGACGTCCTGTTTCGCCGCCACGCCTTCCAGGTATGCGACCTTAAAAAAGTGAAAAATGATAGTTAACAAGCAAGTAAACAAGAAAGGTGTAAAAATCACTTACCTTCATATATTTCTCTATGGGTCCGGGCGAATACTTCCCGACCCGGATGCCGACGATTGGAGTGTCGCTCTGCATAGAGTCTTTCAGCAGCTCTGGCATTACAGCAAGCTTCACCGTAAATTAGGTAAATATCCGCATATTCATACTGCGTGTTCTCTGTCATAGTATTAATAACATAATGTTCGAAGGGTCCAATTTCACAAAATCCACTTTCACTAATTCCGGTAAGTAACATAAAATAATGACAAGAGCAGGTAATAATGTACCTTTGTACTATTTAGCATGTCATTGGTCGGTAACAAGAGCAACTTAAATTTAAATCTATTAAATACATTCTAGCGTGTCTCAGTCCTTTGCCCACAAAAGCGGCTATAACTTTTTTTCTATTCCAAACAGTAAGAGTGGCACCTTTCTGAAATCATAATTAAATGAGCAATTTTTTTATGTAATGTAAACTTATAGCTCAGTACATTTTTTTCACCAGAGATAGTCAAAGTTGGGGAAGAAAATATCAAAAAGGTAAAAATCACAAATTAATCCTAATTTCATGATGGTTCTTTAATATATTTTAACTACATTGCATTTAAGTATGGAGAAGCAACTATCTGGAAGTATTTTACATAAAAAAATTACTAAGTATAGCCTGGTGTGTAGATGCAGTTAAAGAAAATACATAAAAAGGCACGATTTTTTTAATTTAAAAAAAATGTAAATATTTCAAAAACGGTGACACTTTTACCTGAACATTTTTTGTTTATCAGTGAGCTCAGCCCATAGTTTTTTTTATTACTTTTGATTTTGAAATTTTAGCAAAAGTTATTATAAACCTGTTTAGACCATCAGTCTAAATATTCCCACAAAATAATGTCCAGCCCTAATATTCTGACACATTAGGGATCCGACCTAATGTAGGCATATGTAGACACAAATACATACATATACATATACGCGCTAACACTATTATTCCGGCCGTTAACTATTATATCCCGCCGGACAGTGATCTTTCGTTAATTTTCCCCTTGAAGTGGTAGCTAACTGTCCGGCGGTCTAAAGTAAAATTCGGTAAATCCTTTACGGCACTTCTTTTTGGAAGATCAAAGCAGAAGCATCGCAGCTACCAGGCCTCTTCACTACAGGTAATCTCATTGTCACGAGAAGCAAATATTCTTAGTTGTTTAAATAATTTGACGCCAATAAATATTAAAAAATACTAATCCAATTGCGTTTTATATCTTTTCTATTATCTTCAATAAAACCACGGGTGCGCTCAATCGAAATCCCTGCGGCGCAACTGGGTTTCTTCATGGTCCATCGGAACCGAGATTTTTAATACAGTCCACATTGAAAGTACCAGCACAACACACTGAGCTTAAACAACGAGCAATTTTTGTTAACCACATCAGCACACCACCGGTTTTTATAATACCAACGCTTTTTATCCCTGCGTCAGCGATATTGCCAGTGATTCAGTCAGCTGTGCCACAAACCAGCCAACCGGCAACTACAGCACCAACAAACGCAAACACAACCTCACTCAGCTTTCTTGCTACGACACCTGCTAAATTTGCCAGGACACCATCGAGCATACAACACTACAACCACCAAACACCAATCAATTCTAATTCAAGGTACGTGGTTATAATTTCAATTGCACTTGTTAGAAAATTCTCAAAAAAAAAAAACGTTTTTAAATTCAATGCGCGTGTGCAAACTAGAATCTCGCGAGTGTTTAAACTGAAAATATACAATTGGAGCATTTAATTTTGAAACCACACTGTTAATAATTGAGGTTAGTCTGTCCGTCCACAAGTGACAACAGCGACCACAATTAGGTGTTCTTGCAATAATAACATATACACACACAGTACTCGTTGGTTTGCTACACATTTTTTTTAGTCTTGGTTCGAATTGCGTCCGCGAACGGCAACCAAAAAATAATTGCACTTTGCAACCACGCGTATATATATACTCACAGCAGGGATCCGTATCAAATAATATTGTTAATGAAGAATTTCGATTTTGTTTAAATTCATAGTCCATAATCATAATCTTCATTTTTCTGATCGTTTTTTCGATGCCCATTTTATTTGGGTTAAATTCTTTTGTATATTTGCGAACACTTTGTTACTGTTACGAGGATACATAACCTCTAAATTTTGTTATTTGCATTGGACCAATTGTAGATTTTCACTAAATCACTACGCATAAGCGATTCAACTCCGTATAATACTGCACATTTTTTAACATATATATTTGCTGCATACGTTGCATACATCAAAGTGGTAAATCTGTATATTAAAATTTGCTGCGTACGTTGCACACATCACGATATTACCACGTTTATTATTTACCCCTTATTGCGTACCTTGCATAGCTTATCAAAGCGCGTAGATATTACTCTGTACAGTTGGGTGGCGAGTCGTCAGTAAACAATAATTCTAGAAGAAAAAGGTTTAGATTTTAATAAAGTGTCGAATATATCTCGCAATACAAACTATTTTCAATCTTTTTAATTCGTTGGATTTCTGGTAAACATTTAAGTGGCAAGTTCCGGTGGGTAAAAATTGGCAACTTCTCTTGCGCATACAACCTCTAATCTTCGATAAGATTAAGTGTGTAAAATCCTATAGATTCTATCTGGGAATTTCAGTTAATACTTCGGTTAGGGTAAACACGTTAAACAATGGATTCGTATATTCTTTTGGCAGCAGCTGTAACAGAGTTCGAATCTGATTACAACAGCATACCCGCCGCAGAAAAAAACAAACATGGTCCTGCTATTCAACAAGATGAGTTAAAAGCTTTGTGGGGAAAAAACTAAGTCAGCTTACGATAAGCTTATCAATGAGGGATTATCTAAGGATGATGCTGAAGCCATAAAAATAGAAGAATAAGATTTCCTTTCAAAGCTATGTTAGGTGCATGTCTGCTATTGGTTCACAGGTTGAAATTCTAACCAAAGCGAACAAAGATGTAGAGGATCAGTCATTCCGGGAGCACAATATCCATCTGCCACCGTGCGATACAGATGTGTTCAAGGGCGACTATCTTTCATGGCCAACTTTCCGAGATATGTTCACAGCCATCTACATCTTAAACAAGCGCCTCACCCCAGTCGAGAAACTAGTTCAACTCAACAATAAAACACAAGGGGAGGCAAAAGACATAGTGCGAAAGTGCCCACTTACCCATGAAGGCTTTTTGACAGCCTGGAAAAACCTATGTGAGCGATACGAAAACAAACGTATCTTAGTTAACACACAATTAAAAGTTTTATTTAGCTTAAATACAGTGGAATCTGAGTGTGGTAGCTCAATTAAAAACCTACAGCGCGAGATTACTAATTGTTTATCGTCCCTAAAGAGTCATCAAATTGACATCTCTAATTGGGACGCAATTATTATATATTTGTGTTCAACGAAGCTTCCAGAAAGTACACTGGCTCTATGGGAACAGACCATAGACCAAAAAACTGACATTCCAAAGTGGGAGGATATGGACAAGTTCCTATCCAATAGATTCCGAACTTTGGAAACTCTAGCTGGGCTAAAGGGTACAACAGCGGCGAAAGCTCCAAAGCACCAGCCCGCACGGCACCACCAGGAAGCTAACACTAAAAGGCTAGGAGCCTTTCAGGCAAGCGTGAGCAAGTTCACCTGCCAAATGTGCCAAACTAATGAGTACAAGTTACGCAACTGTCCACAATTCCTCAACAAAACACCAGCTGATAGAATAGATTTTTTGAAAAGCAAAAAATGGTGCCTGAACTGTCTTAGTACTGGACATACCGTGTCAAGATGCACAAACCCATTTAATTGTACAAAGTGCCACTCGCGACACAACACGCTCCTTCATATTGAGACAGCTCAAACAAAGGCAACGACACTTGGGACCTCTTTAAATTCTGTGACTAATTCTGCATCAACACCCAATCAGGCCCAAGCCAAACGCAATTCAACAAAGTCAAACAAGCATACAAGCAAAAACGTGAAGTCTTGCTATGCGAATACAAACACAGGTTTGTTATTAGGGACAGCACGCGTCAACATTTATCTCAATGGTACGAACTATTCCGCTAGAGCACTTATTGATTCTGGTTCAGAGTGTTCTTTCATCCCTGAAAGACTAAAACACAGAATTCGCCTGCCGTCAAAGCGTATGCATGCCCAAGTTTCGGGCATCACTAATACAACTACGGCGCAGGTTAAAGAAGCGTGCAACATCGAATTGCGGTCTTCGGTTGACCGATTGTTCCGCTTAAATACCTCAGTGCTCATGCTAGCAAAACTGACTGGAAATCTTCCTACTTGCCACATTAGTGCAGTGACTAAGCAAGCATTTCCAGATCTGATTCTAGCGGATAAAAGATTTTTCGTCAATGAACCCGTAGACCTTGTTCTGGGTGGCGACGTATATCCACAAATTATTCTGTGCGGGCTTAAGAAGAACATATTAAACACACTTCTAGCCCAAGAAACAGTATTTGGCTGGATAATAACGGGGCGAACTGATACCACGAATCCAGGAACGAATATCGTCTCATACTACAGCGAAGTTAGTCTGGACAAGCAACTGAGTGCCTTTTTGGAGCTTGAAGAGATTCCAAAGAACAAGAGCCTTGTTGAAGACGACAAGTACTGCGAGGAGCTGTATCAGAAGACAACCATACGAAATAATGAAGGAAAATACATCGTGTCACTACCATTTAGGAAAGATATTCCAGGAAATATTTCCCTAGGCCCATCCCTTAAAAGAGCATGTTCTCAATTTTACCGGAATGAGACACGGCTGGCCAAGGATCCCTACCTGCAAAAGGAATTCAATAGGGTTCTAGCGGAATATGAAACGCTTGGGCATATGTCGAAAATAACAAATCCCATACCCGCAGACTCGTCTGATAATTATTTTCTGCCGCACCACGCTGTTATAAAGGCAGAAAGTACTTCAACGAAAGTACGCGTGGTGTTCAATGCCTCAAGCCCAACGGCGAATGGCAACAGCCTAAATGACGTACTTTTCCCAGGACCAGTACTTCAGTCTGATCTTCCGATATTAATACTCCGTTGGAGACTATACAGATATCTGTTCAACAGTGACATCGAGAAGATGTATAGGCAAATTCTGGTACATAACAACCATACTAAGTATCAGAGGCTAATTTTTCGCACTAACCCGAATGACCCGATCAGTCTGTACGAATTAAAGACTGTCACGTTCGGCATCAATTGTGCTCCTTATCTGGCTATAAGGACACTTTTACAATTAGCTGACGATGTGCAAAGCTCCCATCCAATAGCATCTAACATACTGCGAAAATGCATGTATGTCGACGATGTATTATCTGGTGGACACACTATCGATTCAGCAATAATAGCCAGAGACGAGATATCGGAAGTGTTGCAATCAACCGGTTTTCCACTTCGAAAGTGGACAGCCAATAGCGAGCAAATACTTAATGGCATACCAAAAACAGATCTACTTAGTGAAGATTTTTTTGGCATTTGAAGATACCAGCGCAGTCAAGGCTCTTGGAATAAGATGGAATGCCCATACGGATCTTTTCTATTTTATAGCAAGGCCATTGGAGAAAAGCGATACTGTTACGAAAAGAGCGATACTATCTGCCATTGCTAAACTCTTCGATCCGCTGGGGTGGCTTGCGCCTATCATAATCGTAGCCAAAAATCCTTATGCAAAATATTTTGCTGGAAGGCACAGATTGGGATGAGACTGTGTCTTCGACCACTCTAGACCGATGGCAGAATTTCACCCAACATTATAACGAAATTGATAATATTCGTATACCGCGATGGGTATACTTTTCTCCAACGGATGACATACAAATACACGGATTCTGTGACGCGTCGGAGAAAGCATATGCCGCCTCTGTGTATATGCGTGTCAAAAGAGATAGCAAAGTTTTTATTAACCTGCTTTTGGCAAAAACCAGAGTTGCTCTTGTTAAAACCATATCGCTACCCCGACTGGAACTTTGCGGAGCGGTACTATTGGCGGAAATAGTTGATTCGATAATCAACAATCTCAATTTAGGGCATATCAACATACATCTGTGGACCGATTCAACAATTGTTCTCGCTTGGATTCGCAAGCCTCCGTGTTCATGGTCAACTTTCGTTGCCCATAGAATCACAAAAATTGTAGAGAAAGTCGGAAACAAGAATTGGCTGCATGTGGATTCGGCATCAAATCCAGCAGACTTAGCGAGCCGAGGACTTCCAGCATATGAATTGGTCAACAATTCGTTGTGGTGGCAGGGACCTTCTTGGTTACAAGAAGATAACCCTAAATGGCCCACACAGGAAACAGACTACAGCACAGTAGTTGAGGAAAAAAAGAACGCACGTTTATACAACCAAAGTAAATTATACCGATATTCTTGACCGTTTTTCAGATATTCCGAGAGCTTTGTTATGAGATTCTCTCAAAGAACGCATCGAAATACGAAAGCTTCATTTCAAGAAAAGTCACGCTTAATTTCATCCCATGAAATTAAAGCAACGACACAACGCTTGATAAAAATATATCAACAGAACTATTACAGTGAGGAATACGGGAAATTGAAAGCAGGAAACTCCATCGACTCCAAGAGTGAACTCCTACCGCTTAATCCGTTCATAGATAAAGATGGCATTATTAGGGCTGGTGGGCGTCTTGGGGCGTCTCAGACTTAGCGTATAACGAGCGGCATCCAATAATTCTTCCTTATAACTGCAAGTTGTCCCGTCTAATCGTGTCTTTTATTCACCATGTCTCTTTGCATGGGGAAAATCAACTCATGCTTCGCCTTATCCGAACTCAGTATTGGATCCCCAGAGTTAAAAATCTGATCAAATCCACAATCCATAATTGCAAAGTCTGTACGATATACAAAAAACGTACGCAAACCCAACTTATGGGAATTCTGCCTCAGGAGAGAACCACATTTTCGCGCGCGTT